CGCCGCCGCCGCCAGGAAACACAAGGAGCGGGAGCAGCGCAGCGTGGCGATGGGCGGGGGTCGAGCCCCGCCCGAGAGTCTGGGCGGCCGTCGGTGACAGACTGCGCTCTGTCTATAGCACCTCCTGCATGTCCAGCTGCCCTGAGCTGTCCCGAGGTAGGTGACAGTGTCACGCTGCCACCATGAATGAGGTGTCTGTCATCAAGGAAGGCTGGCTGCACAAGCGCGGGGAATACATCAAGACCTGGAGGCCCCGCTACTTCCTGCTGAAGACTGACGGCTCCTTCATTGGGTATAAGGAGAGGCCCGAGGCTCCTGACCAGACTTTACCCCCCTTAAACAACTTCTCTGTAGCAGAATGCCAGCTGATGATGACAGAGCGGCCTCGGCCTAACACCTTTGTCATACGCTGCCTGCAGCGGACCACGGTCATTGAGCGGACCTTCCATGTAGACTCTCCGGGTGTGAGGGAGGAGTGGATGCGGGCCATCCAGATGGTTGCCAACAGCCTCAAGCAGCGGGTCCCTGGTGAGGATCCCATGGAGTGCAAGTGTGGCTCCCCTAGTGACTCTTCCACGGCCGAGGAGATGGAGGTGGCAGTCAGCGAGGCACGGGCCAAAGTGACCATGAATGACTTTGATTATCTCAAATTCCTTGGCAAGGGCACCTTTGGCAAAGTCATCCTAGTGCAGGAAAAGGCCACTGGGCGCTACTACGCCATGAAGATCCTGCGGAAGGAAGTCATCATTGCCAAGGATGAGGTTGCGCATACGGTCACGGAGAGTCGGGTCCTCCAGAACACCAGGCACCCTTTCCTCACTGCACTGAAGTACGCCTTCCAGACCCACGACCGCCTGTGCTTCGTGATGGAGTACGCCAACGGTGGGGAGCTCTTCTTCCACCTGTCCCGGGAGTGGGTCTTCACGGAGGACCGGGCGCGGTTTTACGGTGCGGAGATCGTCTCGGCTCTGGAGTACTTGCACTCACGGGACGTGGTGTACCGAGACATCAAGCTGGAAAACCTCATGCTGGACAAAGATGGCCACATCAAGATTACTGACTTCGGCCTGTGCAAAGAGGGCATCAGTGATGGAGCCACCATGAAAACCTTCTGTGGGACCCCGGAGTACCTGGCGCCGGAGGTGTTGGAGGACAACGACTACGGCCGCGCGGTGGACTGGTGGGGGCTGGGCGTGGTCATGTATGAGATGATGTGTGGTCACCTGCCGTTCTACAGCCAGGACCACGAGCGCCTCTTCGAGCTCATCCTCATGGAGGAGATCCGCTTCCCGCGCACGCTCGGCCCTGAGGCCAAGTCCCTTCTGGCTGGGCTGCTGAAGAAGGACCCCA